TCAGAGGTAGAGATTAGAAGTTAACATAGGCTGAGGGGAGGGAGGAATGGGAGTTGTTTTTTAAAGGACAAAGAGTTTCTGTTTGGGAGGATTAAAGTCTGGATGTAGAGAGTGATGATGGTTGTGCAACTTTATAAGTGTACTTAAAGCATCAATGAATCCTACGCTTAAACATGGTTAAAATAGTAAATCTTGTTACGCAAAAAAACAAATAAGGTTAACTAGATAAACAGATTTTTTTAAAAAGACAAATGACACATAGGATGGAGGAATGGAACATTTAGACCTCATATCTCAAAAGCGAACCACCCTAACAAAAAGAAACCAATGAGAAAAAAAGACCAATGCCCAATATAAAAATTGACAACAGATATGAATGAACAATTAAAGAGAATTACAAATTGCCCTTCATTATATGAAAAGATGTCCAACATCACTCAGATATGTAACTTAAAACTATATAGGAATATATTTTTCACCTATCGAACTGCAAAAATGTTAACAATCATACTCCCATAGAAAAGCTATAAGTTACCCTTGTATTTATATCCTGGCATAAATATAAATTTTTATATCCATTACTGAAAACAATATCTACAATAATACAAAAACAGGCACCCTTTCATCATAAACAAACATATGGGAATCTATATGCCAGCACATGTGGAAACACATACGTCCAAAGTGGCTGAAGCATTGTTTACAATAGTATAAAGTTAAAAACACTTCACAATATCCATCAATAGGAAACTGATTAAATCAATTATGGAATTATTTTTCCACACAATAGAAAACATATTCTAAAAAATAAGAAGAACCTCTCTATTCAGATATACAAAGAGCTCTAAAATATGAAATTAGAATAAAGCATACTAGTACCTAATACCTAGGATGCTTTTATATTAAAATAGAATGAGAAATAAGAAAATATATGTATGTGTGTGTATGTATATGTGTGTGTATGTATGTATATGTGTGTGTGTGTGTGTGTACACACACACACACACACACACACAGACACATACATAAAGAAACAGTACCTGTGGGATGCAAGGGATGAGGGAGAGGGCAATTGGGATTAAAGAGATAAAAAAGGAAACAAGATAATTTACTGTGCTTTTTAAAACTTGAGATATGTGAATGTATTTCTCATTAAAATTGTTTCAATAACTTGATAGGGAATTGTAATCAACGAACTACATTTTAAAATCACCTTGAGATACCATTACTCAGCTATCAAGACTGGCAAAATTTTTAATCAGTACCAAGTGTGGAAGAAAATGTGGAAATAACCCAAAATCCAAACATTAATATTATAATGGTTCACTATATTGTGGGATCTCCTCCCAATGAAATATAATTTGAAACAGTGACAGTGAATGAACTATCAATACCCTCACCACAGAAAGTAATCTCAAAATACAATTTAAGTAAATTATGCAAATAATTGTAGATATGATTCTATTTATATTAAGTTCAAAAACAAGCATGAAACAATGTATTATTTTGGCATAGAGATATGATAAAACTGTAAAGGAATCTAGGAAGTGGTTAACAAAACAATTATCTAAACAGCAGTTACCCCAGGGGCATACTGTTAGTATGAGAGAAAGATACATGTGTACTTCTTGACATACATATAAGTCCTCTTTCTTAACCTGGATGCCAAGTTACAGAAATGTTCATTATTTATTATTGATACATGTTTTACATACCCTTTTGCAAATAAATTCCACAAAATGTTTTTCAAATATAAAAAAATAGCACTATACCCATCCTTACAAAAGAATTAAAGAAGTGTTCTTATGATATTAATAGAAACATTCAACTCAAATTATTTAATAGGTATGTTTTCTATTCAAAACAAAATCCTAATTTCAAAAACATATAATCTGAAACAGTGACAGTGAATGAACTATCAATACCCCTAACACCCCCACAAACACACACACACACACACACACACACACACACACACACTCCTGCTCCTTCCTGCTGTCCTTCCCACCTCAGTATATGGCCTCTATAGCCTTCTAGGTGCTGGGTCCAAACCTTGGAATCATCTTGAATTCATGTCAATTTCCCTCACACCCCCCACCCAAAGCATCTACAGATCTTGTTAGCTCTCTTCAAACTACATCCAAAATCCACGCAGTTCTCACCCACTTTATCAGACGTCAGACTACAGCAGCCCATGCCACCACCATCTCGCAGGTGAATAACTGCATAAGTCTCCTTCTGGGTTCCCCTGTGTCTGTCTTCCACATAGTCCATTCTTAAGATGGGACCCCAGAGTGGTCATTTAAAAATGTAAATTAGACAAAGTATCCTTTGCTAAAAACCCACATATGGCTTTCATCTCCCCAAGGGTACAGGCCAAGACTCCATCCCACAGCCCACTGCCCACCTGTCCAGCTCTCACTCTCTGCTGTCAGTCTCTCCCTCACAAAGTCGGCTGCAATCACAAGGAACTCTTTGTTATAGCTCAAATTGCCCAGGCTGGCTGTGGCCATGGCCCTACCCCTTGGAATCCACCTGCATGCTCATTCCCCAATTTCTTTTTCTTTTTATCTTTCTCTCTTTCTTTCTTTTTTAGTGTGTGTGTGTGTGTGTGTGTGTGTGTGTGTGCGCGCGCGCGCGCGCACACACACACACCAGGGATTGAATCCAGGGGCACTTAACCACTGAGCCACATCGCCAGTCCATTTTATTTTGAGACAGGGTTTTGATAAGTTGCTTAGGGCCTCAATAAGTTTCTGGAACTGGGTTTGAGCTTGCAATCCTCCTGCCTCGGCCTCCTGAATTAAAGATATATGAATGTGCGCACCATGATTGGCACTCCAATTTCTTTCATATCAAGAATTCAAATGTCACATTAGAGAGGTCCACTGGGACCATTCTGTATGAAACAGAAGAATCCCATTCCCAACCCATTCCTCCCCTAACCTTGTTATAATTCTTCGGCCTCACCACCACCTAATTGACCTATATTTTACTTATTTATTGTCTGTCTCCACTTGCTAGAATGAAAGCTCCCTGTGAGAAGAATTTTTGCTTCCTACTACACATCCAACATCCAAAAGAAGCCTAAGCAAGGGCTTCATAATAACTGAATGAATGATCTTTTATAGTACTGCTTTTTAAACAATAAGCATTCGTTATATAAAAAGGATTTCAATTCATAAAACGTAACTTATCATGCTATTAATAGGCATGAAAAAGTGAATTCAATATTACTAAGTAAAATATAAAGCACATGTGTGCTTTCCTCTGAATATAAACCATGGTTTCCAAAGGGAAACAAATAAATAGCAAGGAATCTAATTTGCAAGAAATAAAGAGCTAATTTTAAAGAAATCAAGAAAAGCAAAGTATGCCATGTCAGACTTTTCCCAAGCAAAATCAAAACAAAGCTATCATCCGACTCTCATACTCCAATGAAATTAATGTACTCTTGCGATAAAGCTAAAGTAGAAAGTATTTTCTAACTTTGTAAAACAAGCACTTATGACTTGCACACCAACAGGAAAACAGGAAGAGCACACCATATAGGCTAGAAGAAAATTTAAGTTTCATCTAGTATTAGCTTTTCATTTTTACAAAACAAGAAACTGAGGACCTAAAATGACCTGTAGGAAACAAAAAAAAAATGTTCAGTGTCAAAATTAATAATAATAGAAAAATACTACAAGAAAAAAAATTTAGTTTGCCAGCTCAGTTGTGATCCTTACTACAGTAAAAATCCCACTCTTATAGAATTAGAGACACTGAGTCTCCATGGAAAAAGTATGAGAGACTGAGAAGTATGGTTTTCTAAGCAGGTCTTCACATCAAAAGAATACACAGAGAATTGGGGTTGGGGAAGTGCTGAAAAGAACACTGCTTGAAGGGAGGGGAGGGGGCAGGGAGTAGGAAAGATAGTAGAATGAATCAGTCCTTATTACCCTATGAGCATGTATGATCACATGACCGTGTAACTCCATCATGTACCCCCAGACGAATGAGAAGTTACACTCCATTTATGCATGATGTGCTAAAATGCGCTCTACTGTCATGTGTAACTAATTAGAACAAATTTTAAAATATATTAAAAAAGAAAAGAGCATTGCTTGATAATCAGTCAGGCCTGGATTTGAATTCTGGCTCTAGCATTTACTTTGATCTTAGACATTCTTAGTCATACTTGAGCTCCAGGTTTGGGGGGATCTTTTTAATCAGCAAAATGGGGATCATTAAGACCTACCTTATAAGTTGTCAAGAATTTAAGAGTATATAGGTCATCTAATTCAGAGTGGCACATGCCTGTCTATAGTCTATCTGCAGTCTTTCAGACATTTAATTCATAGTGGTAGAATGCTCAATAAAACATCACCACCTCTGATTGTCTGTTAGTTTTTCTGCACTAGCCCATCACTGGGAATTCTACGAACAAGAATGGATGGTACTATTAATGTTGCTTCACTAGGAATCTTTCAATTACCTGACCCCTGCCATTAGCTGCTACTGTGTCTGAGACAAAATAAAGGTTCTTAGGACTTTTTTTTAAAGATGAAAAGTTGAGAAATTTGTTTCTGACTACAATCATGAAGTATGATATGATACCACATCAAAACTAGAAAGGATCTTCAGCAAGAATCTTCTCCACATTATATTAGATGAGATGAGATAACCAATTTCTGCTTAAAGGCTTCCAATTTAAACTAACATCTTATTCCAACACATTATAGTTTATTGTGTTTCCTGAATCTTCTAATTATCAGAAAGGGATTTTTCCTCCAGAAGATAAAAAAGTAAAAAATAATATATAAATGTCACCCCACACTCACATACTTCTGGAAATAAATTTTTTTATTGTTTTCATTAGGGGGTAAGAAAGGAGATTCTATAGTATAAAAGTAAAATTCAAAACATGCATCTTGAAGTGTATATTTAAGTTCTCATAACAAAATACATGTTAGAAACTCTAGCTTGTAAATGTATTAAACATCAAGACAACATACCTGGGATGATATCATTGATGTGCAAAAGAATCGTACTTTCCACACTTGCAAAACTACAAAGCTGTACTCCATCAAATTTTCCATCCCAGTTGCCAATAGGGTTATCCTAGAAATTACACAAATAATATAAAATATGAAAGTCTATTTTCCATAAAAGAATCCTCCAAAATATCTTACTTTGGTAAATTTAACTATTGGCTTCAAAGAAAATATACATATATATTAGAAATAATTGCCTTAGTACTAAGGCTTTTTTGTTTGGGAAAATAAGAACCAATAACAAGTAAGTTATAGTAAACACAGAGATGAACAAATAATTGAAAGTGTTTTTTCATACTTTGCTGGACAATAAATACAAGTCTGTGGAATAACACCCATCTGGGGTTTTAAAAGATAGTGTTTCCATAGAAAAAAATAATTAATAAAACATTATTTCACCAGAAACCTATCCCTATAATTCCCTGAGCACCAAATCAGTTTGAACTACTGTCTGCTTTTCTGTATGCAGAAAGTCTATTTTTAATTGTTCTTCTGTCATATATGGGTCTGCAAAATTTTCTCCAAAATGAATATTTTTCTATATAATATTATACATCAAAATAGCACCAACTACTAGAGCACTATTCATGAAGCTACACTGATAGATTGGCCAGACAATTGCCCTGAGCACCAATGTGTACAGTGTGCTAAAATGACCCTGGAAATAGAAATATTAAAGAAAGTTGTATTGGCCATAACCTTCCTCTCAAGGAACCAACACCTGAACAAGCTAACTGGGGGATGGACAGAAGCAACAGGAAGAGCGGCAGGACATACCTCTAGGCAGCCTGCCCTGGGTAAGCCAGATGATCTATAGATACCATCTAAGGAGGGCAAGGCCTAAGTGACTTTTGCCAAGTTTGGGGCCTAGGCCAAACAACCTGAAGCCTAACACCAGTGACTAGTGGTCTCTTCCTCCACCTTTCCTCCACTCAGTCTACCATTTCTTCTCTAAAATACTGAATTAAAATTTAAGGACTATGGTTGAAAGAAGTTATTGATAGTTAGCTATCTTGAGAAACCCACAAGTTTTACATTGGTTCTAACTTCACATAGTTAAGAGTTCAGCAAATGTTTATTTAGTACTAACTAATGAATATCAAAGAGCATTTCCTAGAATTTCCAAGCACAAGATAAATAGACACTCATGCTAGAACATTCACATTCTACCATCCTATTCAGATCATACCTGAACAGATACAGATTACTAAAAACATCCAAATGACTACTAAAAACAGTCCCATCGTGAGTACAGAGTCTATTACTCACATCCTCTCCTAATTCATCCTCAGGTTTTGTAATCCTTCATGAATCTCATTCTTTGTACCTAACAAAAATTTGCCCATATTTCCCATCTATGATAAAAATGTTCCCAGCCTTTCTATTCTCATTCTCTTTATGCCACAGGTATAATTCAACTTGCCACACTGGAATGTATCATTATTAACAATTATGATTATAAGGTAACATTCAAAGGAGTGATACAAACAAAAGGACAAATATTATATGATTCCACTTCTGTGCAGTACCTAAAACAAGTAAATTCGTGGAAAAAGAAAGAAGAGCAGTTAATAGGTGGTAAGGAGAGTGTAGACAATTGATTTAATAGGTATAGAGTTTCAGTTTGGAATGGTAATAAAGTTCTGGAAGTGAATAAGATGGTATAATGAGGATACACTTATTGCCAATAAACTGTACATTTAAAGGCAGTTAAAAAGATAAATTATTTGTCACACATTTTGCCACAATAAAAAAAATTAATGAGTGATTTCCTATGAGAGTACTCCAATTGTCTTCTCCTCTAAAGAAGCATGGCCTTTTTCCTACTCAGGTATTTCCTATAAACCATTATTTTTATATTACCATAAAAATCAGACTAGCCAATAAAATTTGTAAAATACTACAAAAAGAAAACATATATTTCAAAAAAAAAACCTTTTCAAAATACATCACATAATGTATTTGGTGTTGGGTGGGGGAGTCAGGGTTTTTTGCTATTGTTGTTTTAGGTTTCTTTTGTCTTTTTGTCTACTGTATAGCTATAATAAGGCAAATTCAAAAATTAAGAATACTATTCAAGTTTATGCAAATCAGAAAAAGAGTAAATGTAATTCTATATTCAGATTCCTGTCTTTTTTCAATGTTTCTTTACCTAAGATGAATTCAAATGTGTCTTTTACAGTAAACCAAATTAGTACATTTTAAACATTTAAAGTGTTCAATTTGTACCAAAATTAATCATAAAACTAATACATATGTTCATAATGGTAATATAATGCAAAATTTTCTTACCATGTCCACACCAACAAAATATCCTAAGCTCTCTTTTCCTGGCAAAACATCACAGAATATAACTGTTCCGGATTCTATAGTTTCTCCAACCTTCAAAGAAACTCTGGAGTTTATTTCCAAAGGGGGAAGTTCAACCTGCATGGTGTCCACAGGGCCTGCATAATCACTTTCCAGTCCATTATCATCATCTTCTATGATTTCTAGCTTGTCCAGCGCCACAAACACACCACAGTCTTCATCACACTGAAAAAGCTGTTTCCCTTGATACACCCCATCAGTGAAACCTTGACCACGACCTTCTTCCTAGTTTTTAAGAGAGAGATTATTTTTAAGATAGATAGTTAAATATAGAAAGATAATCTACAGGAAAAAAGATCTACCCTAGGGATTTCAGAGATATTTGGAAAAATTCTAAATGACACAGATAATAAGAAATATAAATTAACTAACTGTTGCTATTGGACTTAGGATGTTTAAAACGTAAGCAGCTACATCTGACGCTGAAATAAAATTACCTGATGATTACAAATCATAATTGGATTGGGAAAAAAGCTAGAATGGAGTCTACATTGTGATTCAAACATTAGTTTTGTCATAAAAAGAAATTTTGACCTTATTAGCAACATTAGTTTATTTATTGATCACTCACCATATGATAGCCACTGTGCTAAGTCCTATATCAATACATAACAAAGACACTGCAAATTATGTACATTATATAGATGAGGAAGCAGATTTAGAGAAGTTATCTAGATTGACTAAGTAAGCAACCTGGAAATCCAGGTAGTATATGGCTTAACTGGCATTCAGATTCCTGTTTCACTACTTAAAAAATTAAATCAAGAAGCAAATAGGGCAAAATGTGAATGCATTTATACTGTCATGTATAAATAACTAGAACAAATTAAAAAATTTAAAAAGAAGCAAATAAGGCATGAAATTTTATTCACAAGAATATCAAAATGACATTGATATTTAAGTTCTTGAAAATTAAGTTTGAAAACATTCACAGAGTCATTAGGTTTCTGTCCAATAAAAATAAATTCCAAAATAATTCTCACAGTTATTATCAGGGACAACTATAAGCAAGTTTAAATTGCTGCAACTTATTAAAAAATCTTATATCTAAATTGTCATTATTTAGTAGCACACATTAAGAAGAACTGAGAAACCTGTAGATGATAATGTCACAAGATAATTAACATGCTTTAAAATGATTAATTACAATTGAAGTTAATTTTAATATAAATAATGTTAAAATCTCAAAGATATAGAAAGTCTATAATTATGATCATATTGTCATATACAGTTTCCACGTTTCCAAGCATCATCTACATTATCTCAATTCATCATTAAAAATTAATCCTGGGGCTGGGGGCATAGCTCCATGGTAGAGCACTTGCCTTGCATACATGAGATCCTAGGTTAAATTCCCAGCCCCACAAGAACAAAAAAATAAAGTAATCCAGTGAATATTAAAATCAGAGAACACTGGGCTGGGGTTGTGGCTCAGAGGTATAGCGCTCGCCTACGATGCATGAGGCACCAGGTTCGATCCTCAGCACCACAAAAAAATAAAATAAAGATATTGTGTCCACCTATAACTAAAAAATAAATATTTTTTAAAAAAATCAGAGAACACTTCTAGGAAAACTTACTTTGTGCTTAAAGGAGTAAAAACATATATATGCATACAAATACATACAGACACACAAACATACACATGCAGCCCACTAAAATCAAACTTACCAGCAATTCTACTCCAAAGAATATGCCTGACACTGTCCTCTCTGCTAGCAAGGGTCCTCTGAAGCGCACGACTCCTGGGAACTTCTCTTCCCCAGACCTCAGCTGTACTTTCACAGGGCAGCCCACGTCCACCTGGAGGCCTTTACTCAGCCGGCTTCTGTTTTTAAACAGGCTGAGCCTTTCCTCACAGTTGGTAATTGCCAACAGTAACTCTGTGAATTTTTCGTTTATTTCTACAACATCCTTTTCATCAACAAAGAGAACTGCATGAGGTTGCTCTAGAATTTTTAATCCAATCTGATTTTTCTTGGCTTTTGCAGAAGGAACCCTTGAGTGCCCCACAGAGCGGTCTTGGATATACTGTCCTATGCTCCCCTTTGGTACTTTAAGGAGCTTCTGTGTCTGTTTGTCTGTGACACTGCATTCTTGGAGAAGCAAATAAAAAATCCGCTCTTCCCAGTAGGGCGAAGTAACTTTTTCTTGGCTCCATAAGCCTGAACTCATTGTGATAGTAACTTCAGAACATGAACTCAAAAAAATGAACCACTAGTAAGTTTGTCATAAAATCGCAAAAGATAAATTCACTGGCAGTCCCAAAGTATGTGTTTAGCAATTTGGTGTCCATGCTGTAAAAAGACAGCAAATCAAAATGCCTAGTGAACAAGCAAAATAAATAGATTTCATTCTCCAGGAATTAAAATGAATTTAAACTAATTAAAATCAAAGGCTTTAAAGTCTCATCTGACTAAGTAAACACACACACACACACACACACACACACACACACAAATGAACAATCTCCAAAAATAGCTAAAAGACATATATACTGGTATCTACTATAGCTGCATATTTAAGGAAATATAATTGTAAAGTACCTTCAAAAATAATTCAATAATGATTATTTCCAAGGCTCTAAAATTTATAAAATCAAATTCTAGCCAAAATTTTAAAGGTTAGCCTCATATACGTATTCTGAATTTTTACACTTTAAAAGGTAACATTTTTAATGGATTCTGCCTAACTTAAAAGGATAAGCTGCCTTTTTGAGCAAAACACACAATAAATAAATAAATAAATGGCTCTCATTTCTGAATACACAGTTTAAATTAAAAGTTATACATTCTAGTACTGACCATATTTTATCAATAAAAATATATCACATTCTGAAACTTCAACCACAATTCTCTTATGTGCATGCTCTATTTTGATAATGGAACATTTTACCTCTGACTCAATTTCATTTCCTTAATCTTGTACATTTTGTTCTTAGACAAGCAAATGCTAATCATTTTAATCATAGTCATCATTTTATTTCTCACAGTCCCAAATAACAGATATTATAGTTTTATTATATTAAAACTATCTTAAAAATAAATTCTGTAGCATCAAAATTTGTACTATATAACAAAGAGATAAAATTGCACTATAATGATATTGAATTGCAGATGTTTCTATCAAATATGAAGTGTTTTTTGCCACAATCATACAAGGATTTCTTCTTTGACTTCAAATTTTCATTTAAAATTTTACAAAGATAACCATCTTTCACAATTAAAAAGACTCCTTCTCAAATCTACTTTAACTAATGGTTAAAAACTACATAATTTCATTAATTCAAACTGAGGACTGTATTTCCTTATTTGAATTATTTTGCTGAAAACAACAGTTCCTATTCTCTGTCACATAAATAATGTGGCTATTTGGTTTCTAAATACAGTACTTATTTCATCCTCCTTTGAGATGGAGGTGTCTATTTCCATTATTCTGGCTAACAGCAGCAATTGATAGCACTATTGAATTTCTCCATTTTATTCTTGCAATTAAAAAATAAATGCTCCTAAAACTAAAGAACCAATTTAAGTTTAATCATTTCACAGTGAAACAATCTATATACAGAGTAACATTTCTTTTAGAAAGCATTGTTAAGTAATGCAGTACTTCATCCTGGTGAAGTTTTTGCACGTCTGTCCCTCTCTAAGTCAAAATGAGACTTGCAGGTTATCCAGGACAAGTAAAAGGCTAGTGCCCCGTCACATCAAAATTACTGTGGCACTTGTACAACAAAAAGTGAAGACAGAAGCAAAGGTGGCATCAAGTGGTTCTCCTCTTTTTTTCTTCTTCTTTTGTAATGTACTTGCTTTAATTCCACTTGAGGGCACTGTCTACTTCAGCAGGAATGGAATCAATTTACATCTGCCACTTATATAAGATACCTGTGGACACCTCACTATTGGCACCGCATAAACAAAATCCCTTAAAGGGCTGCCCAAGCAGCTATCCATCCCCTTTATTTGTCTCTATGCCTTTAGAGTACCAAAATGAAGTGTTGGCTTGTTTTCACTAAATTGCTTTTAAAATGTCAGCACTTTTCAACAAGGAAATTGGTGGTTTTTTTCTTGACCAGTGAATCGTCATTAGAAATATAAATTATTGTGTGTGACTCTCAATATGGAAGGCTGTTTGTTACTTTGTTAAAAGGCTCTACATCAACATCATACTTCTGTGCCCACTTGCTCGCTTTCTATAGATCTATAGTTCTCTCTTGGAATCCAGCCATTTTTTGTGGTTTCCTGTAGTACACATTTGACTCCTTTTACAGCCTTGTTGCTTTCCAACTTACTGCTTCTCATCAGTTCTGAGAAGCCAGATGATGAGATATGTCTGTATGTTAAAAAAAAAAAAAAGCACCAAAAACAAAAAGAATACACAAATTCTGAAAGGATCTTTAGGAGTAAAATGCACAGGTTTTATTATTATTATTATTTTGATTGCTCTTAGAAGGTTAAAGTAGTCAAAAAGCACCTCCAAAGTAGTGAGCTGTTGTTCTGGTTCTTTTAAAAATGTATTTAAGGGGCTGGGGATGTGGATCAAGCGGTAGCGCGCTTGCCTGGCATGCGTGAGGCCTGGGTTCGATCCTCAGCACCACATACAAACAAAGATGTTGTGTCTGCCGAAAACTAAAAAAAAATAAATAAATATTTTTTTAAAATGTATTTAAATTGTGTGTGTGGGGGGGGGAGAGGGGTGTTACATTTTTTTTTAAAGATAAGTCAATTCTATTTTCAAAAGAAATACTTTTTTAATTTCTAAAAATGGTTACCTTCAAATATTAAAATCAGAAACTTCCTCTGATCTTTTCACTTATATGCCAATAACTCCAATTAATTTGAGTCTCTTAGCTTAAAAAAATTCATGTCACAATTTAAAATAAAAACCATCCGTGCCAAAAAAAATCAAAGCAAAATAAATTATTATATGTAATGAATGAGAACACTATATTTTAAATCAATTTGATTATAAAATTGATATTTGCAAATCATTTAAGAGCGTCCCCAATAAAAATTGACATGACTACTCAGTTTATTAAAAAGTTGAGGGCAAAAGTAGTTTTCAAGTACCATTTTTTAAAGCAAACTACACAAGAAGTGGTAACTTTTTTGCTAACTTGCAATAGCACAAGTGGGTATGAACTTAGACTAAATAACAGCATAGCAGACAATTAGAAGAGTCAAAGCAAAAGTTATAAAATATTCAAAACACATTATCCAAAAATAAAAAGCATGTGCCTTTCCTCTTTTAGAAAAAATACATTAAGAAAAGGTTTGAAACTATAGTATTAAAAAATTGATTATCATTATTGCAAATGACAGAGAAAGTTGAATGGGAAAGCTTATTAAGGCTCTGGCCTAAAGGTATACATGATGATCATTGATATTCTCAAAATACTACATAAGTATTACAACAGGGGCTGGTATGTGGCTCAAGCAGTAGCGTGCTCGCCTGGCATGCGTGAGGCCCGGGTTCGATCCTCAGCACCACATACAAACAAAGATGTTGTGTCCGCCGAAAAACTAAAAAATAAATATTAAAAAATTTCTCTCTCTCTCCCTCCTCTATCTCTCTCTCTTAAAAAAAAAAAGCATTACAACAGAAATATGCCAATACATATTCCCTCCTACTGTAGTAACGAATACAATGCCAACATTCTTTCACTAGGCTATGCACAATAGTTAAATAAAGTTTAAGAACGCCAAGCAATAAACCTTGCCTGAATCAAGGGAAAGATTTAAATCACACTTGTAAATGAGATTTTGTCATTCAAGAAGGTTAGCTTGTGGGTTTAGTATTTTGATGCACACCGTACTGTATTAGACACTGACAAATACAGAAGATTTGAGATAGGATGACTGCCTTCAATAAGTCATATCATTTTATTCAGCTTCTGCCTTTAAGTAAAGGTCACAGAAGCACTAAGGCAACACAGGGCAAAAACACAGCCAAACTCAAAATTGGGGATGGGGTAGGGAAGTGAAGGGGCAGTGCAATTTTCATTTGTGTGCTCTTGTTTAATACTTTATAAGCAGAATCACTGTGAGGGTGAATAAAGAAAAATGACTCATCTAAATACTATCATATTTCAGGCTCAATAACTGAGTGACCAGACCATGAATATTCTGATAATTACTGTAAGTACTGAATGAAGATTATCAAAGAATTGGAATACAGTAGTATATTTAAGACCCAAACTGTGCTGAACAGAAGGCCTTTCTTTCGAGAACACTGAAGGTAACAACTCAGTGTCATATAGATTTGAAATCATATCTGGTTATCTGAGCTTGTTGATGGTCTAGATTCATAGTGAAGGGCATTTAACTGTATTAAGATAAAATCATTAAACCAAGTTGAGGGTTGAAAAGCACAAATATTAGTCAATTTCCTATGAATGAAACGAAAAGGAGATGATCAAGAAATAAGTCTTACATAAAATTATTAAAGAATTATCAAGTTCTATGAGCAACACATAAGCACAAATGATCATTATCTACATAAAACTGACAGTGGTTAACCTATCTGGAAGATACAATGTCATTTGCATTTTCAAGTTATCAGGTTATACCTTTCAGAAGAACCTTACAGAGACAGGTGTAATTCAAGAACTCTGCCATCTCCTGTGATACCCTGTTTGTTCCAAAAACTACAGGAAGCTATCTAAATCAAAATACAAATTAGAATATCAAATACTGCCCTTAATTATAAATGGCAAAGAGATTGGAAGATCAGCATGAACACCCGAGAAAGAGGACATGTGAGCCTTTTTCAAATGCTCCTAGGTAGCTACAATGATTACCATTTTAAGAAAGAACAACGCTCACTAAAGGAACAAGTTGTTATGTTCCTAAACAGAGAATTTATATATTCCTAAATGCAGAGATTCCAAGAACAGTAAAAAGACTTGATTGGTTTTAATTTTTCTCATAGATTAATATGTGACACAAGCACACAGTCCCTAAAACAGGTGGGTCTTACAAGGTTACAAAAAACATCTGACTCTTGCATCTGAATATTCAAGTCATAAGGACAAGGAACACTGCTGTCTCACTAGAATTAAACCTAGCCACTGAACTCCCAAAATGTGAATTCCCCAATTCCTTCATCTCTGAACCTCCAGGGCCCAGACAAAGTGATAAGAGTTCAAGCCAAAATGCCATTTCCTCAACCTAACTGTTTAATTATTCAAAGCTTCTTCAGGTTAAAAAAAAGAAAAACATTCAAGAGTTGGACCACTTAGTGATTTTTTTGGTCTAGAACATCACTAATTCTCTAGATAAGGGAAGTCAAGATCAACTTTTACTCCACTTCATTGTTACAAATAAGGTAATTTTCACAATTATGAAACAAGTTGTTTTGAGGTTCATTTGAAACCAGCTTCCAAGAACCTCACACCACATATGACGCTCTTAAACTCTGCATCGATATTAAAATCTCCCAACAAATTTAAGATCATACTGTAAAAATCAGGAACAAACAGTGAATAGTGTAAACACTCCCTTCTCTCTTCTTCCTTAAATCAAATGGGAACCACAGCTTAGGCATGCCAGACCACAGAAACCATTGCTGCTGGTCTTTCTTTTATATAACAAGTGCCCTTGCCTTATCAGCTTGTCACCAAAGTTACCACCCAAAACAAGCTTATTTGTAAGAACGCCTTATATTTTTGCAGCAGAACATTAAGAAAATGTTCTAGGCAATATTAACATTCAGAGCATATGAACTTAAATAAAAATTTCAGCAAATCACTTTGTCTTTGTACTGTTCTAGTTTAAATCCACCCACTACCCAGTGGGGACCTGCAGGCTAAATTCTTAGAGCCATTCAACCTATCAGGGCATGAGGGGGTGCATAAGAAATCGACACTTGAATGCACACCCTCTTGAGGCCTGGGTTTTTCTCTGAAAGCCAATGATTGCAAAATGAACAATGTTATTAAGATCCATAATTATCCCCAATTCAAAAGGAAGGTATGAATGCTCCTTAGCTAAGGACACAACTTTTCAGGGAAAATCAGGAAGAGGGAGGTGGAAAGGATGGTGGAGGCTGGGAGACTGCAAGGCTACAGGCTTGGTGGCTGAAAGATGACAACCATCCTAAAACATGCAAATGCCAAGGGGTGGAATAGAAAAAGATGCCAAGTACATGAATAACCTGGCAGCTGACCCAGCTGAGCACCAAACTCAAGAACACCATCTTCCTTCAAGACTTCACGATTTCGCCCCCCCCCCCCCCAGAGAACCTTAATAAAACCATCCAAAGAAAAACAGGAAGAAATTATACCTGTCTCAACAGGGCACAAGCTTTCAACTAAAGAACTCCGAGTTGTGCAAAACCATCCTCACCCTGGAAAGGCAAAAACTGAAAGAAAACGCAGGACACGCCATTAACGAGGCCAGAATCCCCACTGCTCTTCCTGGACCCAAGCTACAAATACCCCCAATACCACAGATCCATACGCCCCACAGCACGGACGTGAGATATTAAAACCCGGGGCTCTCGGGGCCAACTAGGGCCTTAGGGAGCCAGCCAGAGGCCCGTGCCTCAGTTTCCTCGTCTGTAAATGGGGAGGAGTCCAAAGAGGGAGTCTGAGTCCTGCGCTGCTCCCACTCCAAGCCCTCTCTCCTCCCCAGGTCCCGGCGGCGGCGACCACGCTCCCACGACTCGGGAGCCCTCCGGGAAGGCTGGGGGTGGGTGGCGGGGAGCCCGGGCTGACGTCAGCGGGCTCAGCTCCCCGTGGGCCCGGCTGTCTCGGGCTGGCCGGGGCAGCTAACGGGCCAGCGCCGAGGCCCGACGGTCGCCACCGCGGCCAGAGGCGCCCTGAGGCCGGGGAGGAGCGCCCGGGGGATGCGGCCGCTAGCCGTTCGGCCCCCAGCTCACTCACCACTTTGGGCAGCGGGGCGTCGCCGCCTGGCTGGCCTCCCGAGCCAGTGTCCCGGGCCGGCCCCGGCGCTCCACACCCACCGCCCCAGTATTTACCTCCGACGCGCGGGGGGGCCCCCCGCACAGCCGAACCTGCTACCTGGGCCCGCCCCCACCTGCCCCGCCTCCGAACCGCCGGGGTGGGGGGGGAGAAGCGGGGGCGAAGGGGGCAACCACCTCGATAACCAATCGCAGCCCGAGTTGCGTTTCTACGTGCGTCCTGATTGGGCCTTCCTGTGACAGACCTTCCTCCAATGGCTGTCGGCGCGGCGCCGGCAGAAGGGACTTTCCGCTCTGTCAAGCTCGGTGGAACCAAAGGGAAAGCAGAGAGAAGGGGCGGAGAAGAACGGGAAGGGGGGGCGGGAAGCCCCGATTGATTGGACGAAAGGCTGCGGGTGCCGCGTCACCATTGGCTGAGGCCAGAGCCAGGGCGTGGTGCCGGGCTGCCGGCCCCACCTCCCATACTCAGGTCTTGGCTCCTGCCTTAGCTGTCAAAACGGGTGGGAGGCAGTCCAGATGAGAGCTGGGAACAGTGTTCCAGGATTTCATGAAAGAGCAAAGCTTTAGAGTCACACCTAAGAGTGAATTTTTTGCTCTCTCAATTCGCCGCGTGACAGGGGGGAATTCACAACCACGTTGAGTCTCAATTTCCTCATCTGTAAAATAAAGAGAAGAATATCAGTTGTCTTACCGGACTATTGTGTAAGGCCATATTAAAGTTTCTGGCACGCAGTAGGAGCTCAGTAAACGTTAAAACTCTTACTACCCCCTCAGAGGCGTCCTGGGATCCCTGCTGTTTCTGAACCTCGGTTACCATCCATCCCCAGTTTGCAGAGAGGTTTCCTAAGGGTGGGTTGGTAAAGAAGGAATTTCCACGAGCCTCATCAGTCAGCCCTGCACCCCTGGCCATCAGCCAGGACTTGGGGTGTAGTTAAGGATCTTTCAATTAAAAGAGAGGCTTCTGATTCCCAAAAGTGCTCAAAATCTTTAAGGAAATGCTTTTTATAATCAGTCCAAGAGCTTTGCAGCCTGCCTTGCTGCACTGGATACTCTCATTAATTAATTCCTTCTCCTTTGACATTTTAAGTACTAATTATGGTGGAAGGTGATTAATACTGAGAAAGGGGGAGGGATGTGCGTGTGTGCGCTCTTAATCATGACACAAATTTCCCCAGTGGAAAGTGACATGTTTCTGGGGATCTGGGGGATTTAAACCAATGAGTACATAAAAGAAGTGCCATGAGTGATTACTAAAAGTGATCCTAAACAGACTGCCTCCTCTCCCTCTCCATAATCACTCAGAATGAAATGAACATTTTTGAAAACCTAAACCTCAGTCCTCTCTATCCTTAGGACACCCTTATCCTGTTTCCCAGGTTTTGTGAGCACACCCCAGACAGGAGCAATATGATGAGCATCTACAGCCTAGCTTGCCGTGTGGCCTTAGACAGCACCATTGCCCTCTAGATCTACATTCTCCAATAAAGCTGGTAGACTCATAAGTCAGTCTGGCTGTCTGGGAAAAAATTTCATTCTGAAGGCTGTTTTTGCTTGACCCAAACAATAAGAAGAATGGAAAAGAAGAGAAAGCAGAGAGAGGGGTTTTGAATCTTTCAGACAAAGCAAGCTCTCTCTTCCTCTAGTTTGCCATATCTCTCACCATACACTATTTTATGCCTCTGGACCACTTCTCTCTTTTGTATTATCTATTAGCCCCTGAAGACATTTTGGTTTGCCACCCCTGGACTAGAGCATCTTTATGTCCTTTCTGATGGTGGCATCTGGTACTGGTAGGGCTTTCTTTCCTACCAGCAGTGGTCAGATACCTTGCTCAGCCCTCCTGTCACATGTCCTTTGAATCAGTATCTGGGCCTGATTTCATCCAAGAGATGTCATCCAAGCCAAGCCTGACAAACAGGCTTATATCAGCTACCATCTCCTATCAGTGGGTAACGACTGCTTAGAACTGTATGTTGGTGACTATCCTGAAGCCACGTATTCAGACTCACAGGGGCCTGTCATGGAGTGATATGACAGAACAGAGTCATAGTGCTATTTATTTGCAGTCCTTTATCAACCATCCTCTACTTTTATAGAAGAAGTATTAAGGTCCAGAGAGGGAAAATAACTTTCCATAGTCACCCAGGAGATGGGTTAAGAGCTGATTTTCCTTATTCCATCCAGGATTCTTTCATCTCTGTTTCAATGGATTCACCAACTGAACGGTTCATCCTAACTTCCAAATACTTCCTTCATATAGGGCCCAGCCAAAGTCTAGCCTCGCCAGGGGGGTCTTTGTTGATGGCTCTAGTCCCCACTGATCACCTCTGTCTCTCCACTCCTCCCCTCAGCCTGTTCCACCCAGCCTGACCCCTGGGTTTATGCAAGTGGCGGTTGAGTTACTGAACAGGAGCCAGTCAACACCGCAGTGCTGCCCCTAACAAGGAAGGTGGACTTTACCACCGATTACACAATCACCCAACTTAATTACAGTTCTAGTAAATTCAGGGGGAGAATTGCTTTGGGCATACAGGAAGGGTGGTGGGGCACTCAGGGACGGCCTGTTTGAGGAAGCCACTTTAACTGAGATAGGAATGATGGCCGCGGTTGAAGGTGAGGGTAAGCACTGTACACAGAGAGAACTGAAAGGTGCATGACATGTTGAAGGAACTGAAAGCGGCAGAGCAAGGCAGGGCAGCAAAAAGGTTAAGGAAGCTGGTAAATTCCAGAGCCTAGTAGGAGCCTCTGATGTCACAGATGGTCAGACTCACAGAAGCCCTCTCCATAGCACTGGCTGAGGTTATTGATCAGGTCCTGTCCCAGGCTTCCTAGTGGCTGCCACAGGCTCCTTCTCCTTCCAGCCTCATCAGATTCCATGTTCACTTCTTATTTCACGCACTACTCCACCTCTCCACTCACCATCACCAAAAGTGATCAGGTGATAGTCCCCACACCTGCTGCAGTCCCACTGCTGTCCCCACCTCAGTAACTTCCAATCACTCATCCGGCCTCCCATGGTTCCAGTCATTTTCCCACCACCCCTGTGCACACGGGCATTCAGAATGAGCTCTGAGCCAAGGGGCGACCTGGACCAGGCGTCCACACAGGTAAGGATAGGGTACCAGTGTTTTCTCCATAGTAGCCCAGTGACCTGTCTTGATCCTTGGATGAGGAGTTGGGAGACCTCCATCTCAGAGATGTGCTTATCCTTCAAGGAGGAGAAACTCTGGTGCAACTGAGCATTCTGCCTGGGGGCTTTTACTCTGGTCACCTACAACCTCTTTATGATGAGATAAAAGGGATTATTTTAATCACCTTTAAACTAATCCAGCTGAACTATAAACCTATGCTCTCCTTTTTTGAGCTATTTTTTGATATCAGTGACAAATGATTTCTGGGTATGATTTTAAAACACAGAGAGGAGAAAAGCTTAATGCTCACCATTGAGAACTTTATGCTACAACTGTAACCTCAGACAGTTGGTGCAACAGGATTGGCCTCATGTCCAGCAGAACTTTCCTCCATAGCAAGGAGGCATTAGCAGTGTCAAGGGAGTGGAGGTGGGGTCATTCTTACAACCTGTCTCAACTTCAGTTTTCTGTTCCCTTTAAGTAGGGTGAATCCTTCATCTAGTTAACAAATATTTATTGAGCGCCTACTAAGGCTGGGCACCTTTATAGACTCTGAATACACTGCAGTGAGTATTGTTCCTGTTCTCAAGGAGCTGGTATTCCAGGGGAAGTGTCATTAGTCAGCTTTCTTTAACTGCAAGAAAATACCTGAGAAAAATCAACTCATGAGGAGGAAGGGTTTATTTTGGTTTATGATTTCAGAGGTTTCAGTCTATGGTCACTTGTCCCTGTTGATTTGGGCCTGTGGCAGCAAAGTACATCATGGTAGGAGCATGTGGCAGAAGAGTCCTGTTCACCTCATGGCAGCCAGGGAGAGAAAGAGAGAGCAGGGGGAAGGAAGGGCTAGGATTCAAATATCCTCTTCAAGGCCATGCCCCTGAGTGACCTAACTTCCTTCCACTAAGCCCCACCTCCTAAAGGACCCACCCCCTCCCAATGGCACAAAACTGATCTCCAAGCCCTTGACACACAAGCCTTTGGGAGACATTCAAGATCCAAACTATGGATCACAAGTTCAAAGCCAGCAATTTGGTGAGGTCCTAAGCAACTCAGTGAGACTCTGTTTCTAAATAAAATACAAGATAGGGCTGGAGATGTGGCTCAGGGGTTGAGTGCCTCTGAGTTTAATGCCCAGTACCCCACCCCCCCAAAAAATCCAAACTATAGCACAAAGGAAGAAACAAATGTACACCCAGTAGTACACCATTACACAGGCTGGGGGAGAAAGGAATGGCTGAGCATAGACAGATGGTTCAGGGAAGGACTCCCTCAATGAGGAGGTATCTGAACAAAGGCCCGGAGGAAATGGAGCAAGCCACAGCACTGTCTAGGGGAAGAGGACATCCCTAAGAGGGACCAGACACGGACAAGGGTATGGAAGCAGAGAAAGGGAAACCCTTCAAGACACTGCTGCAAGAATCCAGGAAATCAATGTAAGAAAGAAAGAATCCAGGCAAAAGGGGTTCTCAAGGGGTCCTTGTTTTCTAGGGGAAAGCCAGGAAGAAGCAGGGGTGGGAAGGAATATGGAACTCTAGATGTCACGAAAGGAAGTGTTCCAAATAGAACACGATGCGGAGCTCCTGAGAGGGTTTTCAGGGAGAGTGATGGGGGACCGTCGGGGCTTAGAGGATTGGATTGGTGGATGGTTCTGGAACTGATGATAGTTTGGCACTAAGCAAAGACAAAGATCTTATATTTCTAGTTTGCACAGCTGTAGTCTCTTCAAATGCGGCTCTCCAAGGGGAAATTGTTCAGGTCAGTCCCAGTGTCCTGGGTCACCTTACCGTTCACCTGTAATACTATCCAGGGCCCAAGGATACAGGTGCCCTCATACATGGGCACTGCCAGGGTGATTCCTGTGTGCTTCACCCCCTGGCCTGGACCAGTCATCTGAGTGGGAGAAAGGCTGGAAGATACATTGGTACAACGAGGAACAACGCTCTGTTCTCATTTCACATTTCAGTGGGGTGTGTTCATTCCAGCATCCTGTTTTTGGCATTATTAAGAGGACTGGGGACTAGCAGAAACACTCAGATTGACACTTTTGTATTCCAGGATGATGGTAAATATAATTAAAGTCTGAGGCTCTTTTGAAAATTCTCATGCACAAATACCTTGTTTTTCTGCACATAGGAAATAAATATTCTTAGTCATAAATCTAGGATCTGTCTCTCCTGGATAAGCCACCAGCCACAATCACAGCTCATTCAGGTAGCTTCCCTATCAGAGAACCTTAAGCTTAAGAATCCTAGGGGCTGGGGCTGGGGCTCAGCAGTAGCTCACTTACCTGGTATGTGTGAGGCACTGGGTTTGATTCTCAGCACCACATGTAAATCAATCAATAAATAAAGGTCTATCAACAATTAAAAAATATTTTTTTAAAAAAGAATCCTAGTTCACTGCTTACCTACACAGGCCCAGAATACTCTTGATGATAGCTGCTAGATTTTTCAAAGTTAATATACCAAGATTTCAGTACCACCCTTACCCTTTACCTGTACGCCACTTGACTTCTTCTACTTAAGCATCTCAATCTTGGCAATCCAGAACAGAAGTTCTTTCCCCTTCTAAATTTGTTTTCTATTGATCCCAGTCCTTAGGTACTCAAGGCAGATATCTAGGAGGAACCCTGGACCCTTGCCTTCCCCCGAGCTCTCTCATCCAGTCTACCCATAAGCTCTTGAGAATCTGCCTCCAGAATGCCTGGAATCCCTTCTCTTCTGTCCACCTCCACTGCCAACACCCCAGGCTGGCCCACTGCCTCTCACCTGCAAGACACTGAGGCCATCTCCCCACTTTCTCTTCCTGTAGTCCCATCTCCATCAAGAGCAAAGAAGGTCTTGGTTACACAGTCATTGGGTCACATCTCTCCCGCTCTGAATCCTTCAGGGCTTGCTGTTATTCTAACATCAAGGTCACCTTCCTAACCATGGCCATCTAAACTGTTCATGAACTGGTGCAAGATGCAAACCCGTCCGGTGACAGCCTGCCCTCCGCTGGCCACCAACCTACTGTATTAGTTTCCTCTGGCTGCCGTGACAAGCTGTCACAAACTTGGTGGTTTCAGGTGACACAAATATTCTCTTGTAACCTGGAGGCCAGAAATCCAACATGGAATGGACCCAGGGTAGCCAGGGCTACCAACTCCCCCCAAAGTTCCAAGGGAGAGTCTGGGTCACTGCCTTTTCCAAAGGCTTCTAAAGCAGCTGCTGCACTCCTGGGCGCCTGGCCCCTTCTTCCACCGTCCAACCCAGCAGCATGGCATCTGGCTTCGGTGGTCCCAGGCTGCCTTCTCTCTTGTCAACCACTCCTTTGCTTCTCTCTTATAAGGACACTGGTGATAGCATTTAGGTCCTACCACATAATCCAGGATGATCTCAAGATCCTGAACTTAATCACGTCTGCAAAGTCCATGATTTCAATGCCACCCGTATCCCTTCCCTGCTGCCATGTAAACAGCATTCACGGGTCTCAGGGACCAGGGCCTGATGGCTTTGGGGGCTGACCAGCCTGCCGCACGTAGCAAGTCCTGCCCTTGACAGACTCTTTGTAAACAGCTCCTTCCTGTAACTGGAAGGCCTTCTCTCCCCCTCTCTCATGGCATGGCCAGCCCTCCTCCTTCTTGGGGACACAGCATACCTGGCACCTCCTCTGAGGTCCTGTCTCAGACCAACCCCTCCGTGGTGTGAAGAAGGTCCCCTCTACCTTGCACCTTTATTCATTTCTCTCTTGGCCAGCTTTCCTTTGCTGTGACAAAATACCTAAGATAAAAGGAGGAAAGGTCACTTGTCCCTGTTGCTTTGGGCCTTGGTGGCACCCAGTACATCATGGCAAGGGGGCACATGTCAGAGGAGGCTGGTCACCTCCTGAAGGCCAGGAATTCCGAGAGAAGAAGAGTCCTGGATCCCAATATCCCCTTCAAAGGCATGTCCCCAGGGACTTAACTGCCTTGCGCCTACATCCTGAAGGTCCCACGCTCTCCCATGAGCACCACAGATTGGCAACCTAGCCTCTAACGCCCCGGCCTCCAGGAGGCATTTCCCATCCCAAACTTCAGTCTCCCTCCCAGCACTTACTGCAGTGGACCTTATTTTGATACGATTTTCAATGTACCTAATTTCTTCCTGCCTTTTCCTCCACCCTCACCTAAGTGCCTTGAGGACAGGGAATATGTCTGTTTTGTTTATCCACAGGTTGTCCCAACACCACTGGTTAATAAGTCCTTGCTGAATGGACTCAGGAAAGATGAATTTCCACCCAAGATGGCGCTGCACGAATGGGCTGCTGTGTTCACGCCTCAGTGAGAACAGCTCCATCCCCACCTCCCTCCAGACCCTCAGCACCAGAAAGCACAGGCAGAGCAGCACAGCACCAGTAACCAAGAGCCCAGGGGCTTGCCCAAGCTCAGAGCCCAGGGAGATGGCGCCATTTAGGGAGCCAGACACACTTTCAGAGAGTCTGGACTCCACTGTGGCCAGTGGCCACCTGAGCTCATGCTCATTAAATGTAGATAAGAATCCTTTCAGCAGGGCCCGCAGGAGAGGCCACCAGCCGAGGACAGAGCCTGCAAATCTCCATCTTTGTCCTGGTAAAGACTCCTGCAGCCACTCAGAGAACTGAGGGAGGCCCTGGGGGCCTTTTCACATTTGCTGGGACTCTCAGTGGGACACCGGGAGGCTCAGGCACAGCTTAGAACTTCACACTGAGTTAGAGTCTCTAAGCTAAAGCCAAATGCGTTTTGATTGCCAGACTATTTCTAAGAATTGCTTCTGCCTTCAGCAATAAATTATCTTGTTGAAAACATTCCTTTCCCCCATTTGAGAAGAACATTGTGCTTTAAAATTTGACAAGTTTTTGGAATATTTAAAAATGTTTGGTCACAACGAAGATGGCATTGGTAACTCAACAATTTTCTCCTCTGTGATTATTTACAGGAAAAAGTTCGTCATCTTGTGCTCTATGAAAGTATCAACTGGGGCGAATAAAACAAAGCAGTTTACAAATATTAAGCCATTTTCACACATAATAATGTCTACAGTGATAACACATGTGCAGCACCTGACAGTTTACAAAGGTTTCAACCTGTATCATTTTGAAAAATCCAGAGAGAACAACCAACCACAGTGGTGCATACCTATCTATAACTCAGCTACAAGAGAGGCTGAGGCAGGAGGATCACATGTTTGAGGCCAGCCTCAAACCTATCTCAAAATTTGAAAACAAAAAATACATTGAAAGGCCTAGGGGTGTGGTTAGTGCTATATTTCCCCTGGGTGGATTCAATTTCAGTACAAAAAAAGAGAGAGAAAAATAAAAGTATAGAAAGAACATTGCTTTGAAAGAAGGGTCTGTTTTTGCCCCCTGTAAACTTCCAATCCATAACTATATATCCTGAAGCATTCTGCACAAATGAAATGGAACCATCTCTTATGGATACATTTCAAAAGTCTGTTGTCAGAGTTCAGTTCAGAGGCATCAACCAGAAGCCTACTGGGGCCGTTTGAAATTCTGGCCCAGATTAATTTTTAAAAGCTGCATTTGGATGGGAGCTAGTTCCAAAAGCTTAACTGAAGTGTAATTGATTTCACTGGAAATAAAAGTCCATGTGTATCCGAGCTGAAGCATGATCCTATTTTTCTTGCAAATCTAAGAATATCTTAGGGAACAAAAGGCTGCCCCATGTCTCCCTCTAGCACTGTCTTAGGCGGCAGAGCAGGGGAAGGTGTGGCCCATCCCATACTCAGGGCCAGGGCTGGGAGCTCTCTGGGTCTCCGCAGGGTAGTGGAGGAGGCAGACTGGGAACCACTGGGTGGATGAACCAGGAGACGGATGTGGCAGAAAGCTGCTTCCTGGATGTACCTCCTCTGATGACTTGTGGGTCAGGACCTGCAGGCACTCAGTAGACACCCATGGTCCCACTGACCCCCCTCAGAACCCTGGTGGATTAGCTGGGCCCGGGCCCAGACTGGGAGGGAGGGGCTGCCCCTCTTGTCCATCCCATGGATTGAGTCTGGGGCAGAACCTGAGAGCAGAAGTAGGCTTGGGGAAGTCCACTCTGAAGGGCACTGCAGTGCCTTCCTCCAGTGGAGTCAGGTGACCTGTGGTGCTCTCTGCAAACAGATTCACCCCAGGGCAGGACAGGGCTCTGTCTGAATGGGCTGCTGCCAATCCAGCTTCCAGGGTCCAGACCACAGCTTCCTCACAAACCAACTGAAATGAGCCTCGGCCTGGAAACATCAAAGCAAGAGTCTGCTGTCCTTGTGGCTGAGCTGCTCAGTTTCCTCCAGAGAGAGACTGTTGCCTCGGAGCCTGGAAGGATAAAGGGAAGAGAGGTTGGATGGAGGACAAAATTAGAGCCAGGCTTTCAAAGGGAAGCTGCCACTTTGGCCACCCATGCCTGGGAGGGGCTGACCCCTTGGCCAGGCTGCGGCGCTCGGGGGAGGGAAGTTGGTGCTGTTTTTACCCTCGGTCACCCAGGGCGGCTCATGAATCACTCTGCATGATGAACAAGGCTCAGTGACACTGCAGAAAGAGTCCACCGCCCTGAGCCAGGCCGGCTGCAGACTCCCCCAGGCCGGCCCTTCTTTTTAAGGCAGCCACGGAATCGGTCAAGAATGCCACGATCAAATCCTGATACCTCCTCCCAAGCCCTGTTTGACAGGCGGCAAGCAGCATCCAAGCCCTTAAAATACCCACCTGACGCTGGCTTGCTCCCTGGACACAGAACGTGACATTTCTGAGGACTGTGCAATGGTTTAAAAATAAATAAATAAATAAAAACCACCCCCCAGCCCAGGACCCAGTGACCTTGGAGGCTATGGGGTTCCACAATTTTACAGAAAGCAAAACCACTCCAGCCCAGGACGAATTTTCACAAACAGATTTGTGCTTGATTTCATCATTTGATATCCACATTTGCTGCTGCCTCAATGTACTTTTGGGCAGAAAGGACAAAGTCTATATTAAAATAGGGGTCAGAGCTTCCAGGGGCGGGGAGGTAAAATACAGAAGCCAAAGGTCTTGCTCTAAGACAGCAGGCATGGCGGGGTCTGCATCCAGCACAGCCCGAGACTGCCCACCTTTTCCCTCCTCTGATCAAGGGCATTGCAAATGGGACTCCAGATTTGCTGGCTCTTTCAAGAAAACCCTGAAATATAGATTTGCATAGCAGATCTCTTACTGTTTTAAAATATCGGTACCCGAAACACAGACAGCAACATTCCCTCATAATGAGCTAGAGCAGGGTAACACTTTCTACTTATTGTCTGAGTGAGAAACAGATCCCTGGAAACAGGGAGGCTACATCTCTGAAGTCGTGACTTGATGCTTTTTCCAAATGCATGAAGGACTGTGGTTCTAAATTGCATGGCTGTGGATACACTGAGCCCCAGCCTCCCCAGTGGGTAACCTCCAGGATCCAGAACTGCAGAGGATCCTCACCAGGGCGGGCATCAAGTTCTTCTCTCTTATTTTCATTCCTCAATCACACTCCCAATCCTACCCTGTTCCTGAACTTTTTGAGTAAGTACTCATGATTTTAAAACGAAAGAATTGATCTCCACTCAGAGACGCCAAGAATTCTTTCCCAGCCAGAGATCCAGTTCCGTCACATGCAGAGCGACACAGAGTGTCAGAGTCAGAAGGGATTTTGAACATTGTGCTGTTCCTCTCTCCCCTTTACCCACTTTGCAGATAGGAAAACTGAGGCTCGGAGGATTTCCCAGGGTCCTTACCAGACTTCCAGGATGGTGTCATTCCTCTTGAGGGCCTGCAGGAGGGCTTCTGCACCCAGGAAGGTGATGCCATTGTTGGACAGCCTGGAGAAGAAGAGGAGATGGTGAGCTGCAAAGATGCTTGGTTTGCCTCTTGAGCCTGTCCAGTTACAGGAGACTTTGGGAGTTAGCCAGCCTACCTGAGCCCACCTGTCCCCTTGGAACATCCCTCTCCTCTCTGGGATTCCCAACCCTCCCCTTAGGAGGGTGCTGTAGTGGAATGGCTAAGTTCCTACATTTAAGGGGTCAGAGGACTTCCAGGAACCCAGGGTTCAAATCCAGCCTGCACCATCTCCTTTTTATTGTGTGGTACTTGAGACTGGACCTAGGGTGTACTCTATCACTGAGCTACACCCTCAGACCTTTTTATTTTTAATCTTGATATAGGGTCTTGCTAAGTTGCTTAGAGCCTCACTAAATTGCTTCAAGTTAACCTTGAACTTAGGATCCTCCTGCCTCAGCCTCCAGTCACTGGAGTTATAGGCATACCCCACCACACCCAGCACCAGCTCCTTTTTGGTCTCAAGCAAATTTGTCTCATTTCTCATCTGTGAAATGGGCATAAAGGGGGACCCACCACATAGAATTGAACAAAGGATGGCATGGGGCACCGTGCCTGACTGTCAGAAAATATCAACAAGCTAATGTTCTCAGATCTGGGGAGGATTCAGGGCACCCAGGACCACAGGTTAGAAACCACAGGAGGCTGGAGATGAGCTACAGCCCAGGGAGGAGGGGAAGAGCTCCGTGTTGCCCACACCACCCTGATGTTTAAAGCTTTGCCTTCTAGTATATCCACTCCCCGTCTCCCCTCCACCCCACAGCTGACCTGAGGCAATGCCAAGCTGTTCTATAGGCCAGTTCACGATTACATCAATGAATGTGCCCAGCCCCATGAGGAGGGGCCAATTGCTATCCCCATTCACACTTGAGGCCACCCAGGCAGCCATCCAAGGAGAAACAGCTGGCAGTGGGGGAGCTGGGGTACGAACCCAGGCTGTCTGGCTGCACAGCCTGGACTCTAACCAATGCTTGGCAGAGAATATGCTAGAAAAAGAAAGATGTGGGTTTCTCTTTCTCTCTCTCTCTCTCTCTCTCTCTCTCTCTCTCTCTCTCTCTCTCTCTCTC